CGCCGCCGCCGCTCCTCCCGCTTGCTGCCGCTGCCGACGCCGCCCGCCGGCGGTAGTCTCCCTCCCTCTCCCCTCAGCTCTGGTTGTTCCCTGAGCCGAAGGGGAGGAGCTTGCGCCGCCACTCTCCAGCTCCGCTTTGCACGTACGCCACTTCCAGCCCGCCCGCCCGTCAGCCAGCTAGCGAGGGAACGGGGCTTGGCCGGGGGCGCGCGGGCAGGCAGGCAGGCAGGCGCGCCTCCGCAGCTTGACGCGGGCGGGGCAGCAGGAGCGGGTGGGCGTTGGAGCCTCTTCGCAAGCGGTGGGCCGGCCTGGAGCAGTTACCGCGCGTGGTGAGGGGTGGGCGGATGGCTTTCCCCCCCTTCCCTCTTTAAGGGCCGTGTGAGTGCGGCCGTTCGGCCCAGGCGTTTTGAGTGCCTCCCCTCTTCATCACGGTGGCTTAAACCTATAGGCGACTCCAAATCCAGCGTCGCACAAGGCCTACAAATGGCCTTTTTAAAAAAAGCTCTCCCTCCCAAGGGGCGGAGAAACCGTCTCGCGTGGCGCACGTGGTTGGCCGAGGCTGCGGCGCAGCAGCCCATTGTTTTCACGCTCTTCGGTCCGCTGCCTCCGGAGCCGTGTTCCCTCTCCCCTCTCCCCAAAAAAGAGCCTTAGTAATGTGCTACACGCTTGCACTTAAGCTGATGGGCTGGCACTTGAGGAGAACAGCCGGTTAAATTTAAAAGGTCCGCTGAATTCCTTATTAACAACAAACCCCTGGGAGGCTGACAAGGGCATCACTTCCGAGGACTGTAGTTCAGTTTTCCAGATGCAGCTGAATCTGAACATGTGGGCCAGAATCCACAAAAGCATATTCCGAATTTAATGTTAGTCTTTCAGATGCCTCAAGACTCCTTGTAGCTTTTGCTGCAGCAAATTAACACACTTATTGCCCCTCGTGGATTTCCCAGTTGCTTGCCCCACAGTTCAACCCTATGCCCCCAAATAAATTATATTAATTTAGAATTGTTCCGTTTCCTTTGCTAACAAGAACTTCTGTTACGGTAATATCCAGTGGACATAGTGTATATGGAAATAAATTCTAGTGAATTTTCTCAGCCTTCTGACAATAAAACATGCATCTATTTTGATGGGCAGGCAGTAATTTCATGTACACTTAGCTAGAACATGAACATTGGAATTTCATTTTGAATTTGCAAGTATAAGATCTGTTGTAAGCACATATAGAATAGTAAGCACAAATAAAAACGATTTTAACAGTAGAATTAATTTTTCCCTCTTAAGTAGCAAATTCTCTGGAGCATGAAGTAATAGAATCCTGACGCAGAGAATTACACAACTTCATGGTTTAAGATGACTGCACCTTGTGTAGAGCAAGATGGGGGAAAGAAACAAAAATCAAGCCTACAAGTAAAAAAATAGCAAAAGTGGGGAAGGCTCTCAAACAGTTTATTTAGTACTACTTTCGTCCTTGGAGACAGTTGTTTGTACAGTGCAACCAGGAAACCCACAGCCTGCAGGCCAAGGTGCTTGGCACACCCTGCTGCATACAGCCAACCCTGTTGTTATTGTGTGCCATTAAGTTACTTCCAATTTATGGCAACCTTAATAGGGTTCATGGAATGATTTACTGTTGCCATTCCCCAGTGAGTTTCCAAGTCTGATTGGAGACTTGAACTCAAGTTGCCTGAATCCTAGTCCAGCAACTTATCTGTTACATCACACCTTGTTGTTGTTTAGTTGTTAAGTCGTGCCCGACTCTTTGTGACTCCATGGACCAGAGCATGTCAGGCTCTCCTGTCTTCCACTGCCTCCCCTTGGAATTTGATTAAATTCATGTTGATAGCTTCAATGACACTGTCCAACCATCTCGTCCTCTGTCATGCCCTTCTCCTCTTGCCTTCACTCTTTTCCAACATCAGGGGCTTTTCCAGGGAGTCTTCTCTTCTCATGAGATAGCCAAAATATTGAAGCCTCAGCTTCAGGATCTGTCCTTCCAGTGAGCACTCAGGGATGATTTCCTTCAAAATGGATAGGTTTGTTCTCCCTGCAGTCCAGGGGACTTTCAAGAATCTCCTCCAGTACCACAATTCAAAAGCATCAATTCTTTGGCGGTCAGCCTTTATGGTCCAGCTCTCGCTTCCATATATTCTGGCTGGAAAGCCATAGCTTTGACTATGCAAGGTAAAGTCTCTGCTTTTTAAGATGCTGTCTGGGTTTGTCATTGCTTTCCTCCCCTTTTAATTTAGTGGCTGCTGTCACCATCTGCAGTGATCATGGAGCCCAAGAAAGTAAAAGCTGTCGCTCCCTCCATATCTTCCCCTTCTATTTGCCAGGAGGTGATGGGACCAGTGGCCACGATCTTAGTTTTTTTAATGTTGATCTTCAGACCATTTTTTGCACTCTTTCACCCTCATTAAGAGGTTCTTTAATTCCTCCTCACTTTCTGCCATCAGAGTGGTATCATCTGAATATCTGAGGTTGTTGATATTTCTTCCGACAATCTTAATTCTGGTTTGGGATTCCTCCAGTCTAGCCTTTCACATGATGTATTCTGCATATAAGTTAAATAAGCAGGGAGACAATATACAGCCTTGTCGTACTCCTTTGCCAGTTTTGAACCAATCAGTCTAATTTTGAACCAATCACCACTACATCACACTAGTTTTCCTTATATCTCCAAAGATTCTCAGTCATCCAAGTGAGGTTATCTGGAAGATGAGTCATGGGAATTTGACTTCTTTTTAGGTTGAAACATTTCACTACTCATTCAAGTAGCTTCAGTCTGAGGAGAGTTGGTAGGAAATCCCTGATATGTCCTCCACGTTAGTTACACTTCCTCCTGGTCATATATATAGATTAGAATATACACATGTGCATATAGAAAATCCCTCAGGGATTATACACATGTGCATATAGAAAATCCCTTCAGGTCTCCCTGACCCCTCTCTCCAAGGACCTATCTTCTCTGTCCAAAATGAGAACATCTTGGCCATCAAATGAGTGTCCTTTGTCCTTCAAATTAAGGAACACACTTGATGGCAAAGATGTATTCATTTTGGATGAGAAGATAGGTGGTAGGAGAGAGGGGTCAGGGAGGTCATACATGTACATATAGAAAATCCCTCACTCAACAGGGGTGGAAGCCTTAGATATACTCTATTTAACATGCTGCCCTTTTATCCGTCCCCAGAAGGATTAGAACCACCATAAAGACCACTGTTAATGATCCATGTCAATGGGTCGAGAAGGATTGCAGAAGTGGGATTATCCCTCACCCCCAATCCTTTGTCCTTCTAAGGAGCCTACTGAGACCAGGGGGAAGTGAAACCAAGGTGGAGGAAATATTAGGGGTCTCCTACCAACTCTCCTCAGACTCAAGTAGCTACTTGGATGAGCAAAACGTTTCAACCTAACAAGAAAGAAGCCCCGTTGCCATTACTCAACTGGTTTTCCTTCTAATGACCCTGCTGTTAGAAAGAAGGAAACGGCTACCTTAGGAGCCAGACATTGGAGCTGGATGGGCAATGGCATTGAGATGTGGCAGGACAGGCCTACCCAGTGTCCCCTAAAATTACCAGTGGTCCTCAACTTGGGCCTCCAGATGTTCTTGGACTTCGACTCCCAGAAATCCTGGCCAGAAGAGGTGGTGGTGTAGGCTTCTGGGAGTGGTAGTCCAAGAACATCTGGAGGCCCAAGGTTGGGGACCACTGCCCTAAACTACCCTCAGTTTCAGGACTCCTCTCAGGACAGTGCTGTGTTATAATCAGTGTCAAAAGTAAAAAAAAATCAATTACCAATTAAGTTTGCTTTTGTATTTGGAAAGGAGAGGCACTAGTTAGTCCTTTGCCTGAGGCAAAAATTGTCCTGGGCCAACTATTGATATACAGCAGGGAGAAATTACCTGTTTCATCTGGCACCTTGAGCGGAAGATAGATAAGAACAAGGATTAGCAACAAGGTGGTGCAACAAGACTTCAAAGTGTGAGTTACTGAGAAGAGGGAGTGCCAGTTGACATGCATTTATAATCTGGCTGCTCAGAGTCCTCTTGAAATTATGTGAACAGTCATGTAAATAATCTTTTACTATTTATATATGCATATGTATGTATTTACTGATTTGATTTATATATCACTTCTTCAGTGCAAGCACTCTGGGAGGTTTACAGATGAAAACTCCAGAAAACACAATACATTCAAAATTCTGGTTCACAGATAGGGGTCTAAAATATACTGCTCCTTAGATTTTTAGATTCACTGCTCAGAAGCAGTGGGTATACAAATGGAAAGGAGTGATCACAGAGCCCAGGCACTCCCTTAACTAGAGGCCCACAAAAGGTGTCTTGAGAGGGGACAAGGGTTTGAGGACTATCAGAAGAGGAAAGCAGGACAGGAACAAACTGTAAGGAATGCCTAGATGGCAGAGAAAGACAATGATATTCAGCAAGAGATGCCTTGAATGTGGAGAACACGCCCACTTCAACTATGGGATGAGACAGAACACATTGCTCCTTTACATGTTGCCATCCTTAAATCTAACCCTAGATGTTGAGCAAGGGAAGACTCCAGTGTCTGAAGAGTTTCTTCTGGGAAAGGCAGCTGCCTGCTAAAACTCTCAAGTCATGAATGATTTAGTTTGCCTGTTCTCTCCCTTGCTGAAACGGGTAGGAGGCCCATTCTTTGGTAGCAAAACATATGATCAAACCACAACTGCAAGTCAATTAACTTTACTAAGATTAATAGAAATCAGGAAAGTCATCCTGAGAAAAAAATGTAATTTTTAAAACTACCTTATGCTAAGATTACAGAGGATTTTGTCTGTT